AATTAGAGAAAGGCACAGTAATATTTCAAAGTAATCACCAGAAACTTTGAAGAAGTATAATACTTAACTAACCTTACCTTTTCATAATATTTATACAGAGGTAGTACATCTCGCTGAAAGATGTTCCCCAGAATAGGCCATGGAGTAGGTCCAGGGGGAAGCTGCCCTTTTTTCTTATACATTTGGAAAGATGAAAAAAGGGTGAAAAGTATACAGAGAAGAAGTAGAACTTCTGTCCATGTCAGATCCATCCTCTTCTCAGTTGTTGTCCTCTTCAAAAATCCCAGAAACTGTTTAAATGAGACAAGATTGAAAGAAAAAGGCTAACTGGAGCCTCAATTGCATCTAAATGACATATTTTCTCTAACCTTTTTTTTAAAATCAATATGTTCTTTTACTGCTATCAGTACAAGGTAATTAGTTACTAACATCCCTACCTTTGAACTCTGGGTTCAAATAAGCTCCTTTTTTTGTACATTTGGGGGAACAATATGGAGTAATACAGTATAAGTATCTTCTAGTCCAGTGTTTCTCAACCTTGTCAAATATAAGATGTATGGACTTCAACTCCCAGAAATCCTTACCCAGCTATGCTAACTGCGCATATCTGGGATTTGAAGTCCACACATCTTAAAGTTGCCGAAGTTAAGAAACACTGTTCTAGTCCAACCCCCTACACAAGCTGGAGACCCTGTTCCATTCCAGACGTTTCTTCAAAGCCTCCAGCCCGCGTGAAAATGAGTTAGGCGAAGGCGACCGCACAGGTGAGTGTTGCAGGATAAGAACAACCAGCGGAGGGAAAACCACCGCCAGAACGCAGCCGGTGCAATCAGGACCAATAACGAGGTCCAGGGGCCATTTGCAGGCCACATTCAACCTATAAAAGACTCTCCCATGGACTGGCTTCTTAAGCCCTGATGATGTCAGCAGTGGAAGCTGACGAAAGCTTGGCATATGTGTATTGATATTAAACTCTTATAGTTTAATGATTTTACCCGGTGTTCACTTTTATTTATTTATTATTGGCATGGATGCACCCAGGGATCACGTTTTTAGTGTAATTATTCACATATATAATAATACACTCCTACCTCAGAGTTGGCCACATGGCTCAGTAATCGCATCGGCTACCTGGTCCAGGACAACTCCACTANATCTAATATTTTTCATATAGTTTGTGATAGAATTGCTCTTCCTGTTCTTCAGTGCTCTGTTCCAGAATTTCACCTTCTCTCTGGTTGGGGACCCCAAAGACATGGATATAATGTCTTTGTTTATGGATTTGAGAAAAAGGAATCAATACTCCCATATATGAGCCATTAACTGTTTGATGGACACTTGTGTTCAATAATTAGAAGAAAGCATTTGCATCAATAGATGCTCAAATAAAGCATGTGGGATAGCTATTACATTTAAAGATAATCTTAACCTTGATGTGGAATACAAATACAATAATTTTTATAGCAAAGGAAGCTACTCTTACTGTGGTTCTGACTACATGTAATTAAGAATATTTCTGAAATATCTCAGAGCTGTTTCTCTTACAAAATCAAAATTCAGTAACAGGATTAGACTCCAGATAATGAGTGCACAGGGTCATGCTACTTAAGAGATTGCATACAATTCATATGTAAGACTTCTTTGGTAGCCATGAACTTTTGTGATTGGGGACCTTTCCTTAGAATTTAAGGTCTTATATAAGGATCACACGTGCACTTTTGGAAAAAATATATTTAAAACAACTGCTTTCTCTAACCTTCCAGACTATCAGCTACTTACCTGATTATTCCTTGCCTCTGTTCTTGACTACCAGCAAATGAAAATGTGTCTTGCCTATTTATATTTGTCTACTGTTGACAATGAGATTTAGGGCAGTAAGACTGATGGTTTTAAGATGTTACCTCCCTATAAGATTTAGATGAGTTGTAAGCTGATAGCTTATAGGGAGGGTACAAAGTTGATGCTATGATGGCTCTACAGCCAAATTCTACTCTAAAACCCTTTTAAAATGTTGTTTCCTTGAGTGGTTTCCATTGCAACAGAATTAAGGAATTGGCCCAAAGGTTAGCGATATAGATGTCTTCCAAAATACAACCTGCTGTACAATAAAGTATTAACCCTATGGCAATAACAATATCTGTAAATGAGTATTGGGTTGTTTGTTCAGGGAACAAGGTCCTGTCTTGCCTAATGTGCATTGCTAAGCAAGACTGCACATAACAGGGCCAGGGGTCAAGACTAACATGGCTTGATGACAAGTTTCATTCATTTCTGCAGTTCTCAGCTTATGCAATGTAGCCACATGCCCTCACTTTGCTATATCTTATTTCTATGTCATTTCTACTAATGCAACTAACTGAGTTGGCATTTCAGTTCATTAATTAGCAGTCTGAATATAAATATAAAGTGCTGATCCATAATGTCTTTTGGGGTCAAAACTTTTTTTTTCATTTTTTGGGGGGAAGGATTCAGTCATTCAGTGGTGTGCAGATGGATGCAAAGCTGACCCTTGGAGCTGTTGGCTAAAAATAAACAACTTTGAGAAAAGGGGGATTATGAAAGTCACATCTTTTGGGTCAATCCCTTTCTCTGTAACTCTCCTCTCTCATTTCTACCTACAATCATACATTTCTTCCTCAGCTCTGTAACAGTAATTTATATCAAATCACAATGAGATTTATTGCATTCATAGGGAATGTCAACAACCTGACAGAACCCTGGCATTTATTTGCAATTGAATGAAATCCATTGTGAACTGCTCTAACATAGAGTATTACAAAGAATCCACAACTCTAGAATTTATGTCACACCAAGAATTGCCCCTGAATATCCAGAAACAAATTACCAGATATTGTTTGGCTAGTCCCTTATACCTGATATCTCTGCTTAGAAAGAGATTGCAGTACAAAATTGCAAAAAAAAAAAANTCTTCTCTATACTCTTTATAGAGTCTCAACATCTTTTGTACATCGCGGTGACCAAAACTGGATGCAGTATTCCAAGTGTGGCCTTACTAAGGCATTGTAAAGTGGTATTAATACTTCACATGATCCTGAGTCTATCCCTCTGTTAATGCAGCCCAGGACTGTATTGGCCTTTTTGGCAGCTGCAGCACACTGCTGGCTCATATTTAAGTGATTGTCCACTAGGACTCCGAGGTCCCTCTCACAGTTGCTACTATTGAGCAAGGTACCCCCTATACTATACCTGTACATTTGTTTTTTCTTGCCTAAATGTAGAACCTTACTTTTTTCACCATTAAATTTCATTTTGTTAGATAGCGCCCAGTGTTCACGTCTGTCCAGATTCTCCTGTATCCTAAGCCTGTCTTCTGGAGTGTTGGCTATTCCTGCCAGCTTGGTGTCATCTGCAAATTTGATGGTTTCCCCATCTATCCCCTCATCCAAATCATTGATGAAGATGTTGAAGAGCACTGGGCCCAGAACAGAGCCCTGGGGCACCCCACTACACACTTCCCTCCATGTAGATGCGGTTCCATTGAGGACCACACGCTGAGTATGGCCGATCCATCTGGTGTTGATGCTGTCTAACCCACATTTTCTACCTTATCAAGTAATAGGTTGTGATCTACTTTATGAAATACCTTACTGAAGTCCAAGTAAATTATATCCACAGCATTCCTCTGATCCACTAATTTTGTCACTTGGTCAGAGAATCCAATAAGATTTGTCTGGCATGATCTGTTTTTGACAAACCTATGTTGGCTTTTAGTAATGACTTTATTTGCCTCTCGGTGTTCGCTGATTTGTTGTTTGATTATCTTTTCCAGAATCTTCCCAGGTATTGAGGTCAGGCTGATAAGTCTGTAATTTCCTGGGTCCATTTTTTTTCCTTTTTTGGAGATGGGAACTACATTAGCTCTTTTCCAGTCCTCCGGTAGTTCCCCAGTGCTCCAGGATCTTTGAAAAATATAGTTCAATGGTTCTGAGATCACATCTGCCAGTTCCTTGAGAACCCTGGGATGTAATCCATCTGGTCCCGGTGATTTGAACTCGTCGAGACTGGACAGGTGCTCACTTATCGTTTTCTTGCCTATCTTAACTTGCGTTTCTATTCTGTTTTTTTATGGCACTATTTTTGGTAGGTTGGTCTGTTTTTTCCCTTTGTGTAAAGACAGATGCAAAAAACGAGTTAAATAGTTAAATCATGCATCACAGTCTAGCAAGGTATCAGCAAGGAGTTGGATATTTGGATTTTCAATTATCACAGACCTCATAAAATAGCAGAGACAGTAATTCACTATATTTTTGTACTTGCACCTCAATAGTTTGTTTTTCAAATATTGTCACTTTCCTTCCAGCTCTCTTTCTCTTTCTTCACCATCCCAACTGTTCTCCTTCTTTCTATATCTGCTTCTGTGCCATGTTTTAGGATGTGAACAGTGTTGTGTCCCGTGCCTGCAGAAGCAGGCGCGGGAAGTTGCAAGAGTCCCGGGCATTTGCAAAAGCTGCCCAGGACCAGACTGACCGGCGCCGGCCTTGCGCGCATGCGCAAGGCGGGAAAGGACTGCCTTGTGACTGGTGGGAATTGCCCGGGGATTGGAGAGTATATATAGAGGCTTGCGCGCCTCTGGGGTTGTTGTTTGTTCGTAGAATGGAGCAAACAATAAAGACTTGTTGGATATGCTTCGTCTCAAGCGCCATTATTCCCAGGACTTAACACTGGCGACGAGGGTGGGATACAGTCTCTACAGCTAAGAAAAGCTAGAAGACTCACCCAAAGAAGTCCGGGAAAGAAACGGCGTGGAAGTCAACGTTATTCTGCCAGTACGGAATCGCTGGAGGGTGCGTGCAGCTGAAGAAGACGACCCTGATCCTCGAACGGCGTGGAAGTCAGCGTTATCCTGCCAGTACGAATCGCTGGAGGGTGCGTGCGGCTGCAAACGACGACCCTGATCCTCGATCAGGGCTTGGAGACACACATTTCAACAGAGAGATCAGCGAGCTGGGAAAGCAGCAGAAGAATCTGTAAGTGGAGTGGCCAAGATTTTGCGGCCCACTCGAAGAGCTCCAGTGACTGCAACCATCCACACGAAGGTGGACAAGCGTTACCAAGCAGCTGGGAGGAGGTCCAAGCATCATCAGGACAAGGGCCCAGCTGAGATTCATTGCCTCGGACGCGGTGGACGCCAGAAGCGTGCGGAAATAAAGGCTACATCACTACGAGCTGCCTGGGTCGACTGAAGGAGTTTCTACTAGACAGCATGATTTGCCACGTTACTGCGGCTCCTTCACACCCTTCTACCAAAGGTGGCGTC